TGTCTGGGATATCACAGTGCATATGTGGCCACACAGGTGCTGATGGTGAGTGTGGCTGTCTTCTAGAGGCCGTGTCTGACTCTCTTGGGCGGAAGCATGAATGTAGATTACAGAGTTTGCGTCTGCGACTCAGGGCTTTGCAGAAAGACCGTGTGGGGTTGGAGTTCATCCCTTCGGAGCTTCCCCCCCCCGGCCCCCCCCCCGCAGCCCCCTCCGGCTGTGAGACCCCCCACAGTGAGGGCCCCATCTGCTGGAGGCTCGGTGACCTGTGTCAAATGAGCAGGCGCTCAGTCACACTCCAGAGCCTGGAGGAGACCGCACCACTCTGGGAAAGCCCAGCAGCTCCTAGCCCGGGGGCGGGCTGAGCAGGGGCCCCGCTGGGGAGGGAGGCCCCAGAGCCTCTGAGACTGGCGGCGGCCTGGCTGGGAGCTGCCCTCCACAGACAAGGAGAGGGGGGGGGGGGGGGAATAGGAAAAGAAAGGGCTTCCCTGCTTCCTTGGGACTAGCACTGCTGCTGACCGGCATGAGCCAAACTCTGAGCAGGGCATGGGCCCTCCTCCAGCTTCTGATCCCTTGTGCGGGATATATTAGTTCCATAGGGTGTGGGTGTATGCATTAGCCTGTCTGCGTGATAGGCGGGGTTCGCCTCTTTGTATCTGTGCATTGGTGGGGAGAGTGTGCATGTGTCCGTGCGTTCATGTTTGCGAACACCAGGGTGTGCCTGTTTGTGTGAACTGGCATGCCAGAGGAGAGTGTCCATGCTTGTGACCCCAGGGGCCTGCAGGTCTCCTGTATTTCGCGTCACCGAAGGGATGCCTACCTGAGCCTCCCTGAGCCTATGTGCAGGTATTATGCATGTTTCCTTTTAGACACACGCCTGTATTTATCACTGTGTGTCTGTTTGTGCGGCTGTGAATTCTGACCCAACAGGATGACTCCCTGTGTCCCTATTGTGAATCTGTTATGTTCGTCCCTAAGCTAAATTGCACGTGTGTACCTGTGTGTTATGTGTATGAACGCATGTCTGTTCACACGCCTCAACCATTCAGCGCCTACATGGGTTCAGGTAGGTGTCTGACTTCTGTCTCCCAATTTTTCCCCAGGCCCTGGGAGGGCAGGGCTCCTGGAAGAGAGGGGCTGTTTAACTGCAGGCATCTCTGCCAACAGGCATGTCAGAGTCCCTGGAGTTCTACACAGAATCTCCAGGAACAAACACAAGGAGGATGTCGAGACCTCTGGCAGAAGCCTAACTCTCAAATACAAGAAAATTTTGACTCCAGACCAAACCCATACATTGTAGAGGCTCTAAAACTTTCAAAACAGAGACGGGACTGTTACCCTGCCCTAGTCCACATGGCTCGCCCCAGGGCAGTACCTAACACTAGACTTCAGGGCAGGCCTAAGAAGCAGACAGTCCTGTCCCCATTTTAAGATGAATAAACCGAGGCTGTGACAGGTGAAGCAGCTAGCACAAAGTCACCGGGCTGCTAGTGGGAGAGTAGGAGACGGGATCAGGACTGAGACTTGCTGGCTGACAAGCTGGTAACCTCGGAGCCCGGCTTTGCTGCAGACACCCCTCAATTCAGCACACACATGGGAACTGGGCTTCAGAAGCCCCAGATGGTCCAGGCCTGCCCTCCCCAACCTCCGCTCCCCAGAGAGCTACCAGAGATGGGGCCGGGGGGCTCTCTCTGCTGCGACAGCCAAAGCCACTGTCCCCACAGGTGTCCTCCCCCATCAAACAGCAATGGGAGCACAATGAGAAGCGGGACCTCTTAGATTCTGCACCCCTCGGACAAGTTCAGTTTCTTCATCTCTGCCCTAGGGATAACAATCTCAGGGCCCCTCCACAGGGCTGGGAGGTGCAGGTGAACGTGAATGGATGTAAAAGCACTTGATAGGGGCACCTAGGGGGCTCAGTCGGTTAAGCGTCTGACCATGATCTCAGGTCATGATTTCACAGTTTGTGGTTTCGAGCCCCACGTCGGGCTCTGTGCTGACAGCTCAGAGACTGGAGCCTACTTCGGATTCTGTCTCCCTCTCTCCCTGCCCCTCCCCACTCGTGCTCTGTCTCTCTTACTCAAAAATAAGTAAACATTAAAAAAAAATTTTTTTTAAGCACTTGATAAAGCACTGCGCCCATGGGTCACTGTTCTTCAAGTCTCAGTGACGATTCAAAGGCCAGACATTGTAACACCTGACCACTGTCCAGACACTTCCCTTCCTCCAACAGGAACAGAGAGATTCACAGAATCTGATCATCACAGCTGCAAGGCACTGAGAGGTTAGCTGGTCCAAACCTCCACAATGCCACTTGATGGATAAGGAAACTGAGATTTGATTAGGGAAGGAGAGTAACATGCCTGCTCGTTGGGCACTCACAATAGAAACAACCAGAGTAAAAGCCCTTCCTGAGAGTTTTTCACCCCCACTGTCTCAGACTACCATCTGACTTCCCTCAGTGAGACAGGTGGGCTGCCTATGGTACCGTTACTCCCAATTTACAGGGAAGAAAACCAAGAACTACAGGGATTGGACCAGAGTTATTCTCGCCCAGGAAGATGGTGGCAGGTCCAGGTAGGAAGCCCAGGCTTCAATGTCATGCTGGCCTTGGTTAGGGCTGGCATAAGAGTAGCCTTCACTACAGAACTCCCACCTTGGCCCTAACTCCTAGGCTTGAAGGAGGGGCCAGAAAGGCAAGTGTTTTATGATCTTATGAAGGAAAGGTGGCTCAAGGTGACCACTTCTTGGGCCAGAGTCTAGGAAAGCCAAGCATCCCCAGCTGGATTCATACAGAGCTCCATCACAGCTCTTGAAGCAAGGGTGGTACCCAAGATGACTGCTCAGGACAGTGGCCAATGGCCAGACAAGGGCCCTGCCTTGTCCCACTCCATCCCCTGAGGGCTAGCCAGAGGCTGGTCTAGGGCATTCAAGGCCTGGATGAGCATAGTCTGTGCCCAGGACGACCCTTATCACTGTGGCCTCTGCCCCAGCTACCCCAAGGACCATTCCCAATGCAGCTGCTATCTGAGCCCCCATCACCCTTATTTACTCACTGAGGCTCCATTCTGCAGTTCTAAATTCCCCAGTAGGGTCTAGCTGGGCCCCTAGCTCAGTTCTGTGATCTGGGACCCCAGGGCCCTGGAATCTGTGGATCCACGGGGGGCCAGGCGGGGGGGGGCGCCCCCGGCGGTGAGCCGTCAGCTGGGAGACTCCCTGGGACCCAAACCTCAGTGCAGAAAAGAGATGGAGACTGCAGCTCACTCCTCTTGGCCTCCAGCCCAGTGTTGGTCTTAGAGCCACAGAGTAGCTGCACTGAGGTCCACGTCCACTCAGGATCTTTCAAGGAGCCCTCAAAGAGCTGGGGAGATGAGGAGATCCCCACACTGTACACCTCACCCTTCTAACAAGACTTCTTCGATCTCAATTCCCTTTTCGGCAGCCCGGGCAAGTCCGTTAAATTCCAACCCGGGCTCCATGCGAGGCTGGACAGCTCCCGGCCTGCACGCGGCATTTCTGAAGTGCCAGCCGCCCTTCCCCAAGTCCATGCCACTCCTCACCTGGAGCAAGTTTCGCGTCCGCGAGTGACCCCGTCATGACCCCGACCAATGAGCCGGTCACGCAGAGAGACGAGGCGAGGAGGCGGCAGCGGCATGGGACAGATACCCGTGGGCGCAGTACGTCCACCACCCCCGTCGGCGGCGTTTTCGCCGGAGCTTCGGTCTCTACCTCAAGGTCCTCTCACTCCGGAAGCCCGGAACGCGGCCTGGATACGGGAGCTCCCGCCTTCCCGAAGCATCGCTGCCGCCGGCCATGCGGGCCCCGAGCCGCCCGAGCGGTACTCACCTGGTCCGCGGAGTCCGGAAGAAGGGGAACCCGCACGAGGCGGGAAGCCAGGGCCGGTCCGACTCCACCCGCACCCGACGCGCTCTCGGGGCCGCGTAGGTCGGCGGAGTTGCGACGCTGGGTCTAGAAGGAGAAGAGGGAAAACGAGACGGGCCGGGGAGACGCGCAGAGGAGAGCTCTGTGCCGGCTGAAGCCGCGGGAGGCAAGGCGGCCGAGGTGAGCAGCCGCGCCGGAACCGAGCCGGACCCGCGCCGCCTCCGGCTCGCAGCCGCCGAGACCCGCGGGAATCCCGGCCCGCCGGCAGCGGCACTGCGGAGGGAGGAGCGCGGGGCTGAGCTGCTTCTCGGAGCCTGAGCGCCTCCCGGAGCCCGCAATCCCCGCCGCCGCCTCTTGGCCGCCCGGGCAGGAGATGGGCGGGAATTCAGTTCGCGTGGAGTGTGGGACCTGCCGGGCTCCGAGTCTCCTGCACCGGGGGTAAGCGGGGCCCACGCAGCCAGGACGAGAGGGGGTGCGGTCCCAGTGCCACCCCCGCGCCACTCCCCACGTGGCGGCCGCGCCCCCGGGGCGTGAGTATGTAAGCGGACGGTAGGGGGGCCGTGAATGAAGCCCCAGCGGCCAATCAGCACGGCCGGCGCGCGGGACCCCGGGAGCGAGGCCCAATGGCGAGCTCTGGGCGGCCGGGCCGGGCGGCAGGCGGACGCGGGGGGCGGGGGCCGTGGCCGGGGGGCGGG